CCCCTCCGCCACCGCCCCGCACTCACCTGGCTCCCGCGCGCCCGACCCACGGGAAGGGATTGGCCCGCCCTCCCTTCCGCCCCACCCTCTCATTGGCTTGCAGGGGAAGGGGCGGGACTACCTCAGGTCCGCGCCGGGGAGGGAGGGGGAAGGAGAAGGAGAGGCGCTTGCGCGAGAGTTCAGCTCTGTTCTCGCGATGCCTGGTGGGATATAAAAGGTAGCGGGCGGAGGCGGGGCTCGCTAGTAGCTGTCTGTGGGCGAAGGGTGGCGGTGTTGGCTTGCAGGGGAAGGGGCGGGACTACCTCAGGTCCGCGCCGGGGAGGGAGGGGGAAGGAGAAGGAGAGGCGCTTGCGCGAGAGTTCAGCTCTGTTCTCGCGATGCCTGGTGGGGTATAAAAGGTGGCGGGCGGAGGCGGGGCTCGCTAGTAGCTGTCTGTGGGCGAAGGGTGGTGGTGGGGTATTCTGTATCTGAGGGTAGTGTTCTAAGCGTGGTTGTGGCCTGTGTACCCTTTAGAGGCCTGCCTTCCTCGAGTTGCCTCTCGCCTTGGGCTTATGTCCCTGCAGCGGTGTGTCTGGCCCCGGGAAGTAGCAGGAGCAGCGCTTGGCCTTGTCAGGCCGCTGCAGTTCTGTGTGAGGGAGTTGGGGTGTACTCCAGAGGAGGAGCAGTTCTCTGGCTTTCAGGATAGCTGTGTGTCACTTTCTGTTGGCGCCATAAATAAACAGTATTGATGGTGGGTGTATTTAAAGGCGAAACTAGCCTTATTTTCTCACCTGAGCGCCTTCCCATGGGCTGGCTTTGACACAGCCTCGCGCTCGACCCCTTTCCTAACGCTCTTTGCAGGCTTCTCTGTGACAGCTAGGCCGCTGACAATGTAGCCAGGGGATTTCAACTTGGTGCTGGTGGGTCAAGGCACGTTGTGAATCAAACTGGGCTTTCTTAATTACTCTGATCCCTTTAATAATGATTATATTCTAGCTAAGGCTGGGGTGGAGCTTTGTCCAGTGGGGTGTTGCTCCTCGAGGACTTGGGGTGGTGTTTGTCTTTGGGGCACGTCCCGGTTTGGGGAGTTGGTTTTTGGGGTGGCAGCAGCAGCAAAGTCATCAGCCCCAGGGTGGGAGAGGAAGGGATTAATGAAGGGAGGCAGTTTGAGTGAAATAGGTCAAAAAGGGACAAATGGTGCCAGACCAGTGACTGGCAGCTGCCTGGGTCCCTGTGAGGTCAGCGTTGCTCAGCCTTGGGCTTTTTCCTTTGCGATTCGGCTACCGAAGGGCTGGCCGGTGGCTCCCGCTTGTTGGCTGGAGGAGAGGAGGGCAGCCGGGGTGACAGCAGAACGGTGGGGGGAGCTTGGTGCTTCTTGGGGGATCCATTACCTTTCCGGGCACGGGCTGCCTTCATGCGCCCCATGTTCCTCTCCCTCACTGCTTGGTGCTCCACGATGGGCTGGGGGTAGTTGGTGCCCACCAGGCAGCCCGCCCGCTCCTGCACGGCCCGGGGTGCCTTCCAGGGCTCGTAGATATACTCGGTGGGGAAATCCTTGAGGATGGGAAGGTATTTCCTACGGCGAGGGGTCAAAGTCACCGGGGAGACTGCCCCCTCGTTTCACATGGCTTTGGGATTCGTGCTTACCGAATGTATGCTCCATCCTGGTCTGTCTTCTTTCCAAAGGTGACAGGCGAGTAGACATGGAAATATCGGTGGAAGAAGGCACTGCCCGACAGCCACAGCCAGTTGCCAGCGTTGAGGGACCAGTCTGCATCTAGCAGGAGCTCCTCAAAGACCTGTGGGACACCCCAGTGGCATGGGAACTAGGTCCCCCAAGACCCCAGTGGGTGTTGGGGGAGGTATCCTCACCTTCAGCCCTTCTTCCCAGGAGACCCAGAGATCCCCACGGGTGAGGAAGCAGGCAACGGCGTGCCGAGCAAGGTGGTGGATCCAGCCCTCGGAACGCAGCTGGGTCATGATGGCATCAATGAAGGGGTAGCCCGTCCGGCCCTGGCGTGGGACGTTGGGGTTAGATGGAGCAGGGGGACATATTTAGGGGGACGTCAGAGGACTCAGGGCTTATCCCTGAGGGAAGTACCTCCCTCCAGGCTTGGAGATGCTGGGGGTTGTCATCCCAGTCGACCTGCAGGCAGACGGGGTTGCCGAGCATCTGGTCGAAATTGGGGATGGTGGCGCCGGCAGTGTAGAAAAACTCCCTCCAGAGGAGCTGCCCGTGCAGAGAGACGGGGGGCTGGGAGTGCTCCCGCTGCCGGCAAAGCCAGGATCAGTGCCTCCAGCTGGGCTGGCCCCTGTCTTCTCCAGCCCCCCTTACCCCTTCTGCAGGTTCCCCCCTGCTCACCCTCTTCCCCTCCACCCTAGAAATTCCACCTCACCCCTTGGTAGATCTCATCCAGCCGCCACCAGAACGTGCGGACCGAGAGGCAGCCAAATCTGAGGTAGGGGCTGAGGACGGTGGTGCTGGGGCTCAGCGAGTTGGGCTCCGTCTCAGGCTTCTTGAAGCTGCACACCCAGGCCTGGATGGGGGACACACACACCGGGATCATGTTTTGGGATGGGGAGAGGCAAAGCGGCCCCGGAATTAGGGTGATGGGTGCCCAGCACTGACTGTCCTCTCCATGTGTGTGTCGAGCCGGGTGAGCGCTGCTGTCTCCCCACCAGGGTAGAGGTGAGGCCCCACCTTGGTGGGGTCCTGTCCCAGCTCCTCCAAGGTGGGGACCCCGTAGTCGGCGTTGTGGCTGACCTGGCACGGGACGCGGCAGCCTAGGGCACAGTGTACAGTGGGGGTGTGACGGCCATTGCTCCTCTTCAGGGTGAACAGTGAGGGAGGTGCTGTCCCAGCTTTGTGCTCTACCCACCCCCAAGGTCCACCCCTTCCTCACCCTGGAGATGTTCCCGTGTGAGTGCCGGGGCCGGCTTCTCCGGGGGTCCCAGGGATGCCAGGAGGCTCTGCAGCCTCTTGTAGGTCATGGGGGCTTTGCCATCGTTCAAGGCGAGGATTCTGGGGTGGGAGATGGAGGGATGTGTTTGGCACCGGTGCTGGCTCACCCCTACCCCAAGGGATGGCGCTGAGCACCCACCTCTCGGTGTCGTAGAGGGTGTGGGACACCTTCTGGATCACCTCTACGCCGTGCTGGGCCGCCAGCTCGGCCACGGCAGCGTCACGCCGGTGGGCCAGGGGTTCGGTGTCTACCTCGAAGGTCAACCTTGTCGTCCCCCAGGCATGGAAGAGACGGGGAAACACCTCCTCCGGGCAGCCCCGTACCACGAACAGCCTAATGGGGAGTTGGGTGGGCACGAACCCCCTCGAGACCCCACCAGACCCCCTCAAGATCCCACCAAACCCCCTCGAGACCCCGTCAGGACTCACCTGGAGCCCATTTCCTGCAGGCTCCTGTCCAAGTCCTGCAGGGCATCGAGGAGGAAGCGCCAGGCGTTGGCACCTGCCCGGCTGCCGGAGGGGTCGAGGATGAAGAGGGGATGAAGGCGACGGCAATCGGTGACCGCCGCCAGCAGCGCCGGGTTGTCGTGCAGCCGGAGACCTTTCCGAAACCAGTGGATGGAGCTGTGCTGCATGGCACTGGTGGGATGCCACCTGGGAAAAGAGAGACAGGGGAGGGTTTTTTGTTTTTTTTACTTGTTTGGTAAATATACCTCAGAAGCGGGAGCGGTGGAGATGGACCCGTCGGTGTCTGGTTATACAACTGGGAAGGGAAACAGGTCCAGGCTTGCCAGGGAGGGCTGGGCAGGGTGACGCCTGGCCGGTGGCGGATGTGGGAGGGAGGCCCCGGGGAGGGCTGGTTTCGCAGCCGACTTCCCCTGCCTGCACTTCCGCACGCCCCGGAGGAGCCCGGACCTGCCGGGAGTCGGGGTCTCAGGGAGAGGGGGGGGACAGGCTGCAGAGGGACGGGGCAAACTCCTCTGTGCCATTCCCAGGGAAGCTGGTGGGTGTCCCCCATTCCTCCCTTCCATCCCGGGGCCGCTCTGTCGGAAACCTCTCTCAGATGGGGAGGCTGTAAGGATGGATCCAGCCTCTCCATTCGCCGCGGATCTCGTTAGGCTCCAGAGTGAACGTGCTGCCAGCCAAACTCTCCTTTCTCACCAAGGTGATCCTGGGAAGATCTTCCCTCTTGCTGAACCCAGGGGCTGATGCCTCCTCCTTCCCTGCTCTGCTGCCCGATTCCTGCATCCAAGGTAGGCATTCCCCAAATTTTCCCCCTGCCGTTCCCTGTTGCTGCTTGTCATTCAAGCCACCCTTGAGCTTTTTGCTATTACTAAGCAGTGGCTTGCATGGGGAGTGTGGTTTCCGCGGGTGTGCCGGGGTCTTTCCTGTATTTGTCACGGTCCTGTGCCATTTTTGGGGTGGGGGAAAGGTTTCAGTGTGACTTGGGGGTGTTTTATTTTGGGAGGGGCTGATGCAAGAAGTGGAAAACGGCAGCTGCGGTTGCTCCTGGGGATGCATGGGGAGGGTCCGGGCACCCCCAAACCACGCTGGGAGCCAAGGTGTGGGTTGGCAAGGGGTGCTGGGGATGCCGGGATCTGGGAATCCAGCCAATCCATCTTTAGTTTGCCAGCAGGTGGTTGATCTCCGGTGATCCCTGCTTCCCCCGTCTGCAGGATCCTTTCCCCGCCGCCAGGAATGACGGGCTCTGCTGGCCGTTGGCTGCTGGCCCTGCTCGCTGCAGGTGGGTGTCCTTGGTGGGGGGTGAGAGGGGAACAGAATCACCTGGGGTTGGAAGGGACCTCTGGGGATCATCTCCTCCAACCCTCTGCCAGAGCAGGTCCACCCAGAGCAGGTCCTATAGGAACGTGTCCAGGTGGGGTTTGAATGTCTCCAGAGAAGGAGACTCCACCACCTCCCTGGGCAGCCTCTTCCAGGGCTCTGCCACCCTCACAGGAAAGAAGTTCCTCCTCATGTTTAGGTGGAACTTCTTATGTTCAAGTTTGTGCCCGTTTCCTCTTGTCCTGTCCCTGGGCACCACTGAAAAAAGACTGGCCCCATCCTCCTGACACCCACCCTTGAAGTATTTATAGGTGTTGATCAGATCCCCCCTCAGCCTTCTCTTCTCCAGACTAAAAGACCCAAGTCCCTCAGCCTCTCCTCGTAAGGGAGATGCTCCAGGCCCCTCATCATCTCTGTAGCCCTCTGCTGTCCCCTTTCCAGCAGTTCCCTGTCCTTCTTGAACTGGGGAGCCCAGAACTGGACCCAGTGCTCCAGATGGGGCCTCCCCAGGGCAGAGCAGAGGGGCAGGATGACCTCCCTCCACCTGCTGGTCACACTCTTCTTCATGTCCCCCAGGATGCCATTGGCCTTCTTGGCCACCAGGGCACCGTTGCTGGTTCATGGGCATCCTGTTGTCCTCCAGGACTTGGGTCTTTCTCCTCAGAGCTGCTCTCCAGCAAGTCAGCCCCCAACCTGTCCTGGATGTGGAAAACTCTGCCAGGGGTGATTTTTGGGGCAAACACCCCCGAGCTGGCTGTCCCTAGAAGAAACCGCACTGAGCTCCTGGGCTGGGATCTGCTGTGAGGAGGTTCCTGCTCTCATAATTTCTTTTTTTTTGTCTGTTTTTATCCCTTTTTCCTGCTGGCAGGAGAGGATTCGCACTGGCGGTCGGTGGCTGAGCAGCGCGCTACCCGCTATGGCCGGTGAGTCTGGGCTCCCTTGGTGCCAGGGGTGGGATAAACCCTCCAGCTCTGTCCCCTCCCCACCGAAACACGGGAGGGCCCATGGACAGCCAAGGTTTTAGGGGCTGGGGTGGTTTTTTGGGGACCAGGGTGAGATCCCACCCGGCTCTTTCCATCTGGGGGCGTCCCGCTGAGTGGGTGATGCTGCTCAAGCCCCTTAGGAAGCCCAAACCTCACCCCAAACGTGGTCTTTCCACCTCCGCAGGCTGGTTTAGGCGGCTCCTGCACAAGTCCAAGCCCAGCTCGGTGGAGAGCAGCCTCAGCACCAGCCGCTCTGCTTCATCCTCACCTTCCTCGTCCTCTGTGGAGAGCTCTGGTTCCTCTCCCAGCACGAGCCTGGCCAGGTCTGTCTGTCCGTCACCCGTCTCGGTGTTGGACATCAGCGCCTCGGGCAGCGCCCGGTGGACCAAGAGCTACGACGTCTGCATCTGCCACAGCGAGGTGGACCTGGAACTGGTGGAGGAGCTGGTGTCCTACCTGGAGGGGCAACCAGAAAGCTTCCGTTGCTTCCTCCAGCTGCGGGACGCGACGCCGGGGAGCGCGGTGATGACGGAACTATGCGATGCCGTGCAAAACAGCCACTGCTGGGTGATGCTCATCACCCCTGGCTTCCTCCAGGACCCGTGGTGCAAGTACCAGATGCACCAGGCCTTGGCTGAAGCTCCGATGGCCAATGGGCGGACCATCCCGGTGGTGAAGGATGTCGATCGGAAGGATTATCCCAGGGAGCTGCGCAACCTCTACTACATCTACATGGCGCTGAAGGAGAAGAGCTTCAAGCAGATAAGAGATACCGTCTTTCGCTGTGAGTACACCGGGGGGACGGTGGTGGGACGTCACTCTGGTGGGGTGGACACCATGGGAAGGGACTGCATTTCGTAAATTTATCAAAGTAGTTGATTTTTTTATTTTTTTTTTTAGATTAATTGGTTGCTAATGATGCTCATCTGCCTCCACAGATCTCCAGGAGCTGTGCCGGAGCTCCACCAGTGGAAGTGAGTAGTGCCAGGAGCAGGCGGAGGTTCCCCTGCAGCATTTTGCTGCTGCCACCACAGGATCCGGAGACAACCATGTCCCAGGGGGCCAAAACTGAGCTGCGTGGACCAGCCCTGGTAGCTGAAGACGGGGAGGCCCCTGCATCTGTGGAGCCTGCCATGTTCCAGTGATGCCACCACCGTCCTGGTGGCCAATTCCCCACCTTGGTGATGCCACCACCCTCCTTGTGGCCAAACCCCACCTTGGTGACATCACCGCCATCCCGGTGGCCAACCCCCACTTTGGTGACGCCACCATCCTGGTGGCCAAAGCCCCCCCACCTTGGGTATGCCACCACCCTCCCAGTGGCCAAACACCTCCTTGGGGATGTCACCACCATCCCGGTGGCCAACCCCTGCTTTGGTGATGCCACTATCCCGGTGGCCACCCCCCCCCTTGGTGATGCCACCAAACCTTCTCTTGGGGATGCCACCACCATCCTGGTGGCCAACCCCCCCCCTTGGGGATACCACCACCCTCGAGGTGGCCAAACCCCCCCTTGGGGATGTCACCACCATCCCGGTGGCCACCCCCCCGCTTGGTGATGCCACCAAAACTCCCCTTGGTGATGCCACCACCCTTGTGGTGGCCAAAGCCCCCCTTTGGGGATGCCACTGCCATGGTGGTGGCCAAACCCCCCCTTGGAGATGCCACCACCCTCCCAGTGGCCAAACCCCCCCTTGGTGATGTCACCACCATCCCGGTGGACAACCCCCACTTTGGTGATGCCACCATCCCGGTGGCCAACCACTCCCTTGGTGATGGCCACCAAACCCCACCTTGGTGATGCCACCACCATCGTGGTGGCAAACCCCCCCCCTCAGTGATGCTGCCACCATCCCAGTGGCCAACCCCTCCCCTTGGAGATGCCACTACCCTCCTGGTGGCCAAACCCCGCCTTGGAGATGCCACTACCTTCTCGGTGGCCAAACCCCCCCTTGATGCCACCATTCTCCTGGTGGCCAACCCCCCCTCAGTGGGGGACAGAGGGACATCCTCCAGCAGGTTCCCACTGCTCTTCACGCAAACACTAAGCCTCGCCCTCCTCGCGCGGGTTTGTTGGGACTATGAAAATGTAAAAGTGGTAAATTTTGGGGGGTAATATATTTTATTTTTTTTAATCCACCTGGCTTGTGGTTGTCTGTGGTGCGAGTGACCCCGCCGAGCCGCCAGGGGGCGCTCTTCTCCGTTCCCGCCTTCCCGCCCCGCGTTCGGCGGCGCCACGCATGCGCAGTGCGCGCGCGCGGGGAAAGGGGGGGTGGGCGCCATGGCGGAGAGCCCGCGGCCCAAGAGGAAGCGTGAGGAGGAGGAGGCGGAGGCCGGGGCCCAGCCCCACGACGGGGCCGCCGTCCCCGCCTTCCCGTTAGCGGAGCTGCGCCTGCGGCGTGTGCTGCGGGAGTCGGCGCGGGAGAAGGCCGTGTTCCTGCACGGGGAGGTACCGGGAGGGGCGATGAGGGGCGGGGGGAGGATCCAGGCCCGCTCGGGCCCGCCATCTTTAGTCCTGTCAGCGTCTGGGTCGGGGGAGGCCACGCCCCCTGACAGCAGCCGTTCCCCTGGCAACAGGCCACGCCCCTGACAGCGGACCGTACCCCTGACAACAGGCCACGCCCCCTAACAACAGGCCACGCCCCCGTATGAGAGGCCACGCCCCTCTCGATGGACCAAGGGGCAGGTCCCCGCTCACCCCTCCCTCTCCCCCGTCCCCATCCCACCTTTAATCGGCCCCATATACCCTTTTTCTGCCCCGATTTGGCCCGGGCGGGGCGGGACACACACACACACACACACACACACACACACACACACGAGGTGGCTTCTCACAGCCCGGCTCACTGGAACCCTTCCTTCCAGCTGCAGGTTCATTTTTCCTCATTCCTCCCGCTGTTGCTGTGGGAGCTGGGAGGGGGTTTGTCGCGTTGGAAACTTTATTTCAAGCCTGTGGTGTTTTTGGTTTTTTTTTCTTATTTGTGGCTTTTGGCCCAGCGAGCAGGTTTTTCGTGCTGGGTGGGTAAAGCGGCATTGAATTGCAAGGAAGATGAGGACTCTAGGGCTGTACGTAGGGTAGGCATGTCCATCAGGTGCCATAAAAGGGAAATTTGTAATAACTCTATAAGTTTCATAGCTGGAGAGCCTGGCCATGGCACGGGAGCAGTGCAGCTGCCTTGGCTCCTCTCTCCTGGAGATGGACATCTGAGTTGGTGACGAGGACGGTTCGTGCTGGCTATCATGTCCAAACACATTAAAGATCAAGAAGTTATTGGTATTAGTCAACATGGATTTACCAAGGGTAAATCATGCTTGACCAATCTGATAGCCTTCTGTGATGTTGTAACTGGTTGGCTAGATGAAGGGAGAGCAGCAGATGTCATCTACCTTGACTTCAGCAAGGCTTTTGACACTGTCTCCCATAACATCCTCATTAGAAAATTAAGGAAGTGTGGGCTAGATGAGGGGGCAGTGAGGTGGATTGAGTCCTTGTTGTGTGACAGGACTCAGAGGGTCGTAATTAGTGGAGCGGGGTCAAGTTGGAGGCCTGCGACCAGTGGTGTCCCCCAGGGGTCAATACTTGGTCCAGTGCTGTTCAACATATTCATCAGTGACCTGGACGAGGGGACAGAGTGTATCCTCAGCAAGTTTGCTGATGATACCAAACTGGGAGGGGTGGCTGACACCCCTGAGGGCTGTGTCACCATCCAGGGTGACCTGAACAGGCTGGAGAGCTGGGCAGGAAGAACCTCATGAGGTTCAACAAGGACAAATGTAGGGTCCTTCACCTGGGGAAAAAGAACCCCAGGCACCAATACAGGTTAGGGATGGATCTTCTGGGAAGCACTACTGAGGAAAAGGATCTGGGAGTCTTGGTAGATAGCACACTTTCCATGCGCCAGCCATGTGCTCTTGTTGCCAAGAGGCCGATGGAATCCTGGGCTGTGTAGGGCAGAGTGTGGCCAGCAGGTCAAGGGAAGTCATTCTCCCGCTCTGCTCTGCACTGGGGAGGCCACAACTGGAATCCTGCATCCAGTTCTGGGCTCCCCAGTTCAAGAGGGACAGGGAACTACTGGAAAGAGTCCAGCGAAGGGCAACAAAGATGATGGAGGGATTGGAGCACCTCCCTTATGAAGAAAGACTAAGAGAGCTGGGACTCTTTAGCCTGGACAAGTGAAGGCTGAGGGGAGACCTTATCAATGCTGACAAGTATCTAAAGGGTGAGTTGAAGGATGTTGGAGCCAGACTCTTTTCAGTGGTTTCCAGCAATAGGACAAGGGGCAACGGGCTCAAGCTGGAACATGGGAAGTTCCATTCAAATATGAGAAAAAACTTCTTTAGGGTGAGGGTGATGGAGCCCTGGGACAGGCTGCCCAGGGAGGTCGTGGAGTCCCCTTCTCTGGAGATCTTCAAGCCCCGCCTGGATGCTCCTGAGTGATGTGCTCTGGGCATTCCTGCTTTAGCAGGGGAGTTGGACCAGATGATCTCTAGAGGTCCCTTCCAACTCTAAAAATTCAGTGATTCTGTGATTCTGTGAAAGTTCAAGCTGCTGCTTCAGTCTCAGGGCGGTGGGGTTGACGAACCGGGCACAGACCTGCCTGCTCTGCCTCGTGACTGTGGCTGGGTTGGGAGCCCTGGGTGACCCCCTTTGCTGTCCCCAAGCGATGTTGAGGGAGGCCTTGCCTGGGTCCTGTACGAATGGGAGCACTTTGGGGGTGTGTTCCTCACCCTGCGTGTCCCAGAACTGACACTCTCAGGGTCTGGGTGGTGGTTCCTCGGAGCAGGACAGCAGCCTGCCCTGTCCCAGAACAGCCTAGGTCCTAGGTTCCTAGCATGCCCTAGAGGAACAGCCTCTCTGACTGGGATGTGAACCCCTACGCCTGTCTCTGCCCTCTTCCTGACCCTCCAACCACCTGGTCGGTGACCCTGTGGTCAATTGCCAGTATCTGAGATGAAATCAGTGATGTGGGTCAGCAGGAATGCAGCTGGGAAGGGCGCTGGGAGCACCCAGGGAGGTGGAGATGGGCTTGAGGCATTGTCCACATCCCGTGTTCTCCCAAAAAACCACCTGTGTTCCCTGATGGGGAGAGGATTCCTGCCATGCTTCAGGGCAAAAGTGCTTTTATTTTTGGACGGGGCCTGGACCAGGAAATGGTTTGCGCGTGAGAATTGAGGGGCTGCAAGGTGTTCCCTGGGTGGAGATGTTCAGGTCCTGGCCTCAAAGAGGCCAACGCTGGCTGGAGAGTGTTTGCTGTGTTTTGTTGACAGCTTTACCTGTTCTTATTCCAGGTGACCAGCTCCTCTGGAGAGGGGGCAACCGCCGTAGTCATCCTGGAGAAGACTCCCTTCCAGGAGGAGAAGATCTTGGACCTGCTGAAGAAGCACACCAAGCTGGAGCTGCAGATGCGCAATGACATCTACAGCACGTACCACCTCTATCCACCCCCGGAGCTGAGTGGTGAGGGCTCTTGGCCTGGCGTGGGGTTGTCCTGGGAGGGTGACTCGCTGCGTGGCTCGGCTGCGGACTGGCCATCGTGGCTGGGATGCCGGTTGGGGTGCTCCTGCCGTCTCCAGAGGGTAGGACAGGCAGTGAGACAGGCAAGTGACATGGCTGGACCCAACCGTATCACCCCATCTATGGTTTGGGTGACAGCAGCAGACCTGGCCCAGGTGGGGAGATCAGTGGATCGTTGCTGCTCTGAAGGCAACATCTCACTCCAGAGGCTTTGGATGCTGCCTCCTTTCTCCCCCTCTTCCCTGCACTGTTGGACACCTACCTCGGCTGATGAGTGGCTGCTCATTAAATGGCCATTGCTTGATTACTTGCAATCATAGAATCATAGAATCGTTCAGGTTGGAAGAGACCCTTGGGATCATCGAGTCCAACCATCTCCCCTACTCTACAAAGTCCTTCTCTACACCATGTCCCTCAGCACTGCATCTAAACGGCCCTTAAACACAGCCAGGGATGGGGACTCCACCACCTCCCTGGGCAGCCTGTTCCAATGCCCTATCACTCTTTCGGTGAAAAATTCTTTCCTAATGTTCAGTCTAACCCTACCCTGTTGGAGCTTGAAGCCATTCCCTCTTGTTCTGTCACTAATTACCTGTGAGAAGAGACCAGCACCAACCTCTCTACAGTGTCCTTTCATGTAGTTGTAGAGAGTGATGAGGTCTCCCCTAAGCCTCCTCTTCCTTGATTTAAAGGTGAAGGAGAGGGCTTGGGCACATGAAAGCTTTCCTTGGGTATTTTTTCAGTTCATCTGGTAAGACACTGTCTCTCCCCATAAAGTTTCTGTTGAAAACAATCTCTGCAAAGCACACGTTAGCTTCTCACTCCTGGGTGTCATTTGCTTTATTTTTGTTGCCCAGCGTTGCGTGGGTGAGGACAGACAGCTATCGTGTTTGCAGGGCAGATTTCAATCCTGTAACCTCAAATGCCCCGGGTGGGGAAGGACCCGGTGTCTCTGCCTTTCAGGCCTCTCCCTGCTGATTTGGTGCACGTGTGTGTGTTACGAAACCTGATTAATAACAGAGTAGGAGGAGGTGAGATGAGGCTCTCACCCTGCGAGACGGATTCTTGTCAGGGTGGAGGGGTGTCCTGGGGTTGTGGTGCTCTGCAGCTGCCGCTGGGAAGTGGGGCTGCCCTTTTGGCAGGCCCAGCACTTCAATTTGATGCTGGTATGCGTTTAAATTCTGGATGTGCAGAAATTAATTACATATTGATGCTCCCATAAACACAATGATACACAAACAGGTTTAACAGAGTCAAAATTAAGCCTTAAGTAAGAAGTCATCGTGGTCCTGAATTAAATTTTTGGGATGTTTGATGTGCTTTCCCAAAAATGCTCCTATTTTAACGCCCTTTCCATGGTGTAGGAGGAGGCACAGTCTCGCTTTGGGAGCTTGAGGTGTCAAAACTCCTACTGAGGGCTTGAAATCAGAGGTTTCAGCTCTACAAAGCCACCTTCCAGTGGTAGGAAAACACGGCGACACGGTGGTGGTGGCGGTGGGAAGATGTCAGAGCTCTGCTTCCTCCGCTGGACCGGCTCCTGCTTGGGAGGCGGCGACTCCCAGGGATTCCCACGAGGTGGCATTGCAAGACTAGAATCCCCTGGGCTCCCAGCTCCAGAAGGACAGGGAACTGCTGGAGAGGGGACAGCAGAGATGACAAGGGGCCTGGAGCATCTCTCTTACGAGGAGAGGCTGAGGGACTTGGGGCTTTTTAGTCTGGAGAAGAGAAGGCTGAGGAGGGATCTGATCAACACCTATAAATACTTCAAGGGTGGGTGTCAGGAGGATGGGGCTGGTCTTTTTTCAGTGGTGCCCAGGGACAGGACAAGAGGAAACGGGCACAAACTTGACCATAAGAAGTTCCATCTAAACATGAGGAGAACCCCTTTTCCTGTGAGGGTGGCAGAGCCCTGGCAGAGGCTGCCCAGGGAGGTGGGGGAGGCTCCTTCTCTGGAGACATTCAAACCCCCCCTGGACATGTTCCTGTGGGACCTGCTCTGGGTGGACCTGCTGTGGCAGGAGATTGGACTGGATGATCTCCAGAGGTCCCTTCCAACCCCATATCAGTCTGTGTTACTCTGATAGCAAAATTTTGGGTTTAATTTTAGATTTATGCCAGGTGTGAAACTCCTCACTGGGTTGAAAAGGCTGTTCAAGGGTCGCTGGTCTCCATCAGTGCCACGCTGGGTCCTGCTTGTTCTGAGAGACTGGAGCAAAACCAGGTGAATCTGGGTCTTCTCACATCCTGTGCCTTTTGTTAAACTAAATCCTTGGGTTTTTTCTGTCCAGTGTGTCCTCTGTGCCATGACTCTGGCACAGCATGGCCATGCCGTTTGTCTCACGCATGGCTGGACCAAACCTGCTGTGATTTCATGGGTGTCTGTGCTGTTCCTCTTGCAGGTTTGGAGAAAAAAAAAACCCTCTGGCTTCCTTCTGCTTAAGTTTATCTTTTGAATTACTTTAAAAATGGCTTTTAAAAGGCAGGTTTTGTGGAAATGTTATGCATCTCTCCTTCCCAGCTTTCTCCTTGGCATCGCTGTGCCTGCTCTGGATGTTGGACAGGAGACCTGGAGGGGCTGTGCACCCCTGTGCTGCCCTCCAGGCTCCCTGGCCCCGAGCTGTGAGTGAGGAGGCTTCTTCTTTTAAAGCAATTCAGAGCCAAATAGCTGCTTTTTGTGGGCATATTGCATGAGCTGCTGGCAGGCAGCTGGGCTGGCATCAGAGGAAGCGGTTGTATCCATCAGGAGGGGAAGGAAATTGCCCTTTGGAGCTGAGTCATGGAGGGAGTCAACGTGAGGAATGCAGCTCATAAACCCAAAATGAAGGAGGAGGAATTTCCTATGAGGCTGTGGACAATGTCAGGGCTTGTGAGAAATCCCTGGGCATCGAGTGATCATGCGGAGACCCTGCGAGCCCTTGCACAGGGTCTGTCTCGGGGTTAGAGATACACAGGGTTTCATCTCCTGCCACTTGCAGGTTTCCACCTGGGCAACGTGGTGCAGTAGAAGTATTTTGCAGGAAAGGTCAAACTTTGGTATTGAGCAGGTCCTTCGACAAGCCCTGGGTCGCAGTGTCACGCCGAAAATGAATTCACCCCAGGGTGTTCACAGCATCTCAGGTGGCCGAGCTCCTCACACTCAAGCTCCTCACGCTCAGCTCCTCCCTTTCTAAAGGTAAAGTAAGTCTCCAGATGGAGGAAATGGAGAGACTTGGACAGGCTGGAGGGCTGGGCAAGGGAGAACCTCATGAGGTTCAACAGGGAAAAGTGTAGGGTCCTGCACCTGGGGAAGAAAAATGTCAGGCACCAGTACAGGTTAGGGGTGGACCTCCTGGAGACAGCTTCTGAAGAGAAAGATCTAGGGGTCCCTGTGGACAGCAAAATGCCAATGAGCAAGCAGGGTGCTCTTGTGGCCAGGAAGACCAACGGAATCCTGGGCTGCGTAGGGCAGAGTGTGGCCAGCAGGTCAAGGGAAGTCATTCTCCCCCTCTGCTCTGCACTGGGGAGGCCACAACTGGAATCCTGCGTCCAGTTCTGGGCTCCCCAGTTCAAGAGGGACAGGGAACTACTGGAGAGAGTCCAGCAAAGGGCAACAAAGACGATTCAAGAATTGGAGCATCTCCCTTATGAGGAGAGACTGAGAGAGCTGGGACTCTTTAGTCTGGAGAAGAGAAGGCTGAGGGGAGACCTTATCAATGCTGACAAGTATCTCAAGGGTGGGTTGAAGGAGGAGGGAGCCAGACTCTTTTCAGTGGTTCCCAGTGAGAGGACGAGGGGCAACGGGCACAAGTTGGAACATAAGAGGTTCCACTCAAATAGGAGGAAAAACTCCTTCCCAGTGAGGGTGACGGAGCCCTGGAACGGGTTGTGGAGTCCCCTTCTTTGGAGATTTTCAAGCCCCACCTGGATGCTCCTGAGTAACATGCTCTGACAAGCTCTAGGCAATCCTGCTTCAGCAGGGGAGTTGGACTAGATGATCTCTATGGTCCCTTCCAACTCTAAAAATTCAATGAAATTCAGTGAAATCATGCCCACAGGTGACTGGGGGCTCCTTGAAGGCACCGGGAGCTGCCTCCAGGTCCCTCTGCTTTTTTGCAGTGTGTTTCTTAACGCCACCTTTGTGGACTGGAGTCCCCCGGGCGGCTCTTCCTGCGGCTGGAGTTTGGCAATAGCTTAAAGTGGGTATTTTCTGCAGCCTTTCCCCACCTCCTCGTTCCAGTGAGGTTCCTCTGCGGAGTCGAGCTAACGCAAGCCCTGTGTGATGAAAGCTTGTTTTGTCTTGATGGTAAAAGAGCCTCTGAGGCTGCACCAGACGCTTTGTTCGCACGGTGAAGGCAGAGAAAGGGAGGCCAAAAGAAGTATGTTACCTGAGCAAACGACTCCATTCTGCCCTGGGAAGAGGAATTTTCACTCTGCTGTGGCTTAAGGATGAGATTTTTAGGGTTGGGAGCACACGGAGAGCGCTGGACCTCATCCGTGTCTCCCTTGGCTTGGTGGTTTTCCTGGCCGTTAGAAGAGACATGGCTAAAATGGGAAATACCGTTTGCAAACCAGCTTAATAGAGGTCAGAGTGTCTGAAGGGCGACCCAAAATGCCCCAAACGGAGGAAAAGGAAATTTGTGGGTGAGTTTGCGAGGAGGAGCGGGGTCAGAGAGCGTGCCCTCTGAGGGTATCTGCCCTGGTGAGAGCCAAGGTAGGCGTGCATGGATCTTTTTAAGGCCAGTTGCTGGATGTCACCTGGATTTAAGAGGCAGCTTGTGCCTAGAGGTGCGAGATGCTGGCAGAAGAAATGCTCTCTCTGGGATCTCCCTTGCAGGGAGAGCAAGGGCCACTTTCAGAGCAAGGGGAAAGGTTTTCCTGCTGCCAGCGGCTCGATTGCAAAAGTCAAGACGCTTCAAGCAACACGTTCCCCGCCAGCCTTCAGCTCCTGGTGGTGCTCACACCTGCTGAGCAAGGAGAGCTTGCTGTTTCCAGGAAAAAAAGCAGCCTCCTCTTTTCCTGGCTGCTGAGGGATGTTGTGTTTCACAGCACCAAAGCCACAATGGCTTAAGAGGGCTCTTAGCAGTCCTTTAAGGAGTCTATAGTCACTGGGCATGGCTCGTCCCTGCGCTGCAGGCTGAAGCTTATTAAAAATGTCTAAAAATGTCTAAATGGAGCGGGAGGGGCTCCGGCTCCATCTCTCCAACAGGGAGTGCAGAAATTGTGGGAGAAATGGGAGAGCGTGGAAGGAAAATATTCAGTCATGCAGGAAGTGATACATCCCCCTGCCTTCCCCAGCCCGAAAAGCGTCTGGTTTCAGGCAGAGAGGAGCTGGAGAAACTTGCAGGAGCCGTGTGGGGAAAGGTTGGTTCATCTCCCAACGTTTCCATGCTCGGCTTGCCCGGCGCAGAAAGCTCTTTGCATTTCCACTTCAAGAAAAAAGCTGGAGCCTGAAGCAGTTGGGGGTGCATGGGGTGGCCTGGGGGACAGCAGGAGGCATCCCCCTGCTTCGCTCTGGGTTTTTTTGGGGGGTTGTAACCTCCAGTTTTCTTCTTCGCCGTGACTCTTGCAGCTGGAACCCACTGGGTGCTTGGTCTGTGGGTGAGAACCAGGGGCCAGACGGCCTTGGCAGGAGTCCCCAGCAGCTCACTTGGCTTGCCCTGACGTGTGCTGGCCTCAGAGACTGCGAGCTCTTGCAAGCTTTATCTTTTTTTTTTTAATGCTTTTTTTTTTTTTGGTTGGTTGATTTTTCGGCTTTTATTTCATTTACTAACGAGAGCCCCAGATGTCCGAGGCAAAGCTGTGGTCGGACCTGGTTGGGCGTGGGTTGAAATGAGGTGTTCCGTGGTGACTGCTGCATGGTTGGGATCGGAAAACTAAATAAACTACATTAATACAGGAGGGGAGAGGTTGTGCGTTGCATTTAGGGCTGCATCGAAGGAAGAGAGCTGATGATGGGAGGACAGCACAGAGCTGTGTGCAGCAGGGAAGAATCTTGCGGAGGAAAAGAAAACTTGTGAGAGTGCAAATGGGACTTTCTCTGTCGCTTCCTGGGCTTGGCACCTTCCTGCACCTGATTTCACTGAATTTCACTGAATGTTTAGAGTTGGAAGGGACCATAGAGATCATCTAGTCCAACTCCCCTGCTGAAGCAGGATTGCCTAGAGCTTGTCAGAGCATGTTACTCAGGAGCATCCAGGTGGGGCTTGAAAATCTCCAAAGAAGGGGACTCCACACCCTCCCTGGGCAGCATTTTCCAGGGCTCTGGCACCCTCACTGGGAAGAAGTTTTTCCTCCTATTTGAGTGGAACCTCTTATGTTCCAACTTGTGCCCGTTGCCCCTCGTCCTCTCACTGGGAACCACTGAGAAGAGTCTGGCTCCCTCCTCCTTCAACCCTCCCTTGAGATACTTGTAGGCATTGATAAGGTCTCCCCTCAGCCTTCTCTTCTCCAGACTAAAGAGTCCCAGCTCTCTCAGTCTTTCTTCATAAGGGAGATGCTCCAATCCTTGAATCATCTTTGTTGCCTTTTGCTGGACTCTTTCCAGTAGTTCCCTGTCCCTGATGGTTGAGTTGATCAGGCAGAGGATAAGCCAAAGCTCAGCATCCTACTAGCAAAAGGAAAAAAAAAGGAAAAAAAAAAAGCAAAAAAAAAAGCGCCCCTGCCCAAAGGTAGAAACAGGTTCTTCCTGCCCTGCCTGCTTCTCTTGGCTCCCCAGTGTGTTTAAATCTATTTAAAACAAAACTAGAGTGGTCCATTTGAATGTCTCTGGGTGGGATGGGAGCAGTCAGCACCAGGCATCTCAGCGGGTTGCCCTGGTGTCTCCTGGCTCTTTGCATGGGTTTGAGATGGGATGTGCTGAGCTGGAGGGGGGATTTTGGCAGGGCCTGGTGACGGCACGGTGGGAAAGGGGACGAGGTGTTGCTGGTGAGCCTGGAGCACTCATCCCAACGGGCAGGAGCTCTCTCTGCCTCCTTCCCAGATGTGGCTGTCCTGCGCCGTCAGCGTGGGGTGACATGCGCCATCCTCCCCTCTTGGCAACAGACGCCTGCAGCCCCTCTCCCCATAAGTTCCCCAAATTGAGCTGGGGTTTTGGTTTTGTTGAGTGGTTGGGTTTTTTTTCGCTCTCGTTTTGAGCGGGGAAGGGGAGAAGTGGTTTTGTTTCTGGTCTGATCCAACATCCCTTTTCTCCTGGGCAGGAAAACGAGGGTGCAGCGTTTCTCCTAACGCCCTTCGCAGGGGTGAACCAACTGATCCATCAGTTATTCTCTGCCATCACAGCACCTCTGCCTCCTCCTCATCCGGGTTCCTTCAATTAAACCTCCTTTTTTATAACCTCTGGTTAATTGACGGTCAGTCCTGACTTCCAGAATAAACCACAGGCGCTTCGTGGCGTCCCTGGGCTGGCGCTCGGGACCGCGCCGGCTGCTGTGACTCAGAGGCAGAGAGACAATCCCTGACCCCTCCAGCGAGCTTAAAAACCCACATCATGTGTCCAGTGGTTCTTTACCCCCGTTCCCAGGCCAGGGTAGGTTTCGGCTGCTCCACGGCGTACGTGATGCTTTAATGCACGTGGAGTCTGCCAGGAGAAGGGCAGCTTTTAAAACGGAGCACGGATGCGGCCGGTTGCCAAGGGTGGAAAGATTTTGTGGTGAGCCTGGTCTCGCCGTGGATGTTTCCTGAGCTGGGACTTTGTATCCCCTGCGCAGGCTCCTAATCATAGTCAGGCTCTGAGCATTTATCAAACAGCTTCTCCAGCCATAGTGATTTATGCTAATTAACATTGCTGGGGTGTTTCAGGGTTGATGAGACTCTAGAAGGGAAATAATCGTTAGCGAACCACAGCCTCTCCCCCTCCTCCTCTTCCAAACATCTGCTGCTCAACCGCAGCTGCACATGAAGGGTTGCTCTGATCTAGGCTTTAAGGTACCCAAAGTGGCTCTCTCCACTGTCAGCAGCCAGCCCCCAAAACGGGGAGATACTGGGGAAGTGGGGAATGGGGTCTCTGACCCCCCTCCCAGCCAGCACACGGGTTGTGGTTATCACCCGAGTGATATCACAGGAGGGTTTCTGCTCTAGTCCCTGCGCTTTTTTTAGGGTGTAACATTAAATTGTGGGAGCTTCAGCCTGCGGCTGGGTGTGGTATTTTCTTATCTTTTGCCTTTTTGTTTTCTCCCCAGTGCTTTGCTGGTCTTTTTAAGTGAGGAGCAGAGGAGCTACAGCCTTTTTTTTTTTTTTTTTTTTTTTTCCCTCCCTTTGCTATTACATCATCCCACTAGAAGCGCTAATCGAGTCCTGGAAAACAACCTTGTTTGAACATGTGTATGGTGGGAATCAGACCAGGCTGCCCTTGTGGTTTGCATTTTCATATTTCATGTTACCAGCATTTTCCTGTGGATTTCATTAAGCTGGGTTTGGCATGAAATGAAAAGCCCGAGTCCTCCCGGCTTGTGCAGCGCCAGCCTTGAAAAAGAACAGAAAGCAGAAAACTTAAAAAAACCAAAAACCTAAACCACCCTAAATCCTGGCTTTAAGAACAAATAGATATTTATATTCCTGTCTGGCTAGCATCTATACATATATAGAGCGTGGAGCGTGGCTGATGGGTACCCCGATGAGTGGGTTTTTGGAAGCCCATGGTTTTTGGAAGCGTGGCAGACCTTGGGCACGAGCTGCAGTGTCTCAGGGTCCCGGCCACTTGCTTTGGTCCCGTCTCCTCGAGGTCTGTCCAGGCTCATGGGGTTTTTTTTCTCTCCTTCCTGTGTTTTTATAGCAGCTCTCGTTGGCTGGGAAGGCAGAGTGCCCTTGGAGTTGTGGCAGGCTGTCTTATCGCACATCTCCTCTCGGCCAAAGAGGGATATTTTCCAATTGTTTTAGCGCTGTGGGTAAGGTTTACTGCTGCCAAGGTCAGAGCTGCCAGGGTGACGAGGTGGCACCCTATTTAATGCCACAGAAATTCAGCAGCAAAGTTTTAATCTCCAGGTAAACAACAATCGTTTTCCAAAATTGTTTTCCTTTTTTGTCCCTGATGTCAGCTGCTGCAGGGGAATCACCCAGCCCTCTTCCCTCGGCTCGTCCCGCACCGTGATAACCCCCAAGCCTGCGTTGTTAGCTCCGGATCTGTCCCCGTGACCTTGAACTCTTGGTCTCCTTGAGCTTCCCGATGGCCAGGAGCTCTGGGAAGGAGCTGCTCCTCCAGCTCACAGCTCACGCCACCTCTGGTTTCGTGGCTGCAGAAAGTTGCTGGGTGCTCACTCAAGAACATCCCGTGAGCTCCGGATTTGAGTACGAGGAAGATGTGTCTCTGCCCCCGGGGTTGTGTTTCTGGCCTGGTTGTTGATTGCACATTAAGCTCTTCCTTGGGAGGCCCAGCTCTGCCCTGGTGTTGCTGATGCACCTGGAAGAGCAAGTGTGGGGAAAAAAAACCCCTTCCAGACAGCAAACTCCTCCACCTGAACTGGAAAGACAGGCCCTGGCTGTGTTGTTGGCTTATCCTTCCTCAAGAAAAGCAGCAGTGGCAGCCTGGGAGGTTAAAGCCCTTCTTTGCTTTCCATGTCTGTTCTCCCCCACTCTGCTATTTTAGCGATACCTTTGAAAAACATGTTAGCGTGGCGTTTATTGGAAGGGAAAGCAGATTTATGGGGAATCGAAGGAAGCCGATGTGGGTTTGGTTTGTGATGGTAACTCAGGAAACGTGTTTGTTTCTAGAGATAAAAACCACAGTGGTGTACCCGGCCACGGAGAAACACCTTCAGAAGTACCTCCGCCAAGAAGTGCACCTCATCCGTGAAACCTGGGAGGATTACAAGAGCATAACGCTGCCCTTCATCCAGTCCCAGAGCTTCAGCATCCAGGTATGGGTTACCACTGCTTCCCCTCTGCAGAGGTGGGCATCTTTGGGTTCCTTCTTCCACATCCTGGGCTGGATGTCTCCTCCAGAGCCCAGGTTGGAGGCAGAAGGGTTGGGAATGCTCTGCCCCCGTCTCCCTGTTGGTTGTTCCTTCAAATGCTCTGCCCCCGTCTTCCTGTTGGTTGTTCCTTCAAAGTGTTGCCAGGTCTCATCCAGCAGGGCAGCCTGCTTCTCAAACTGGACCAGCTGTGGGTTATTTCTGCTGCTCCTGGAGTGGTGATGCTGCCTGAAATGCCACCTCCTCATCCATCGTGCTTTCTTGAGGCTCTCTGACCTTTTGGATACACTGCTAAGCAGGCCTCTCCCCTCAGTTCCCCCGTTGTCCCCCATCCTTCTGTCCTCTGGGGCATCCTTCTGCATCTTTGCAGAAAAACATTTGCCTGGGAGATGTACCCAAAGTTGCTTTTCCCAAGGTTTCTGGAGACTTTTCTGTGCCGAGGCGTTCCCCCTCTCCTTTCCAAGGGTGGCTCCCTGGGCGTTGCTGCAGTTCATGGGGCGTTTTAGGACTCCCTTGGGTGTTGTGGAGATGGGAAGGCACAGGCTGCTCTTGGATTCCTGCATCGCAGCTCACTCCTGGGGCTTTGCCTACAGCTCCTCTGCCATTCAGCCCTTCGGTCTGTATTCCACGTGACAAAGCTGTATTTCTAGTGTCCTCCTCACCCCAGGCAGCAGCAATGGACTTTTTCCTTGTTTCCATCCTTTTTGACCATTCCTCTCCCTGTCTGTAAGAAAGGACCAAAGGCACACAAGTCTGTAGGGGCCAGCCTGTGCAGAAGGGGGCACAAACCAAATCCTGGCTGTGCTGAGGCTATCCATGAATAAATGAACCCCCCAAACCAAGCAACTGCAAACCTTGGGTATCCCCCCCCACACACACACACCTTTTTCCTGCTGCTTTAAACAGCAGCAGAAGGGTTAACAGCGTTCACTGCCGCAATGTCTGTTTGCTAATGGCTTGCAATTGAATGTGAACCCTGAGTTCTGCCTCTGGGAGGAGAAGGCACCTCTGGAGCACACACCTTGCTCCTCATCTCGCTGGGGCTGCAACATCAGTAAGGTACAGGTGGCCCTCGTTAGCTGGAGGAAGACAAGAGCGTGTTTCCACCAGCCAGCAACCCGCACAACAGACGTTTTCTCACTGTTTTTGCTTTATGGCTGTTAAGTTTCCTGCTTGAGCGCTCTCTCTCTGCCTCTCTCTCCCTAAATGCTTGTGAGATGGTTTTTGTACATGGAAACATATTCCTGGTGACCATCAGGAGCATCTGCTGAGAAATCACGGGCAGCACAGTCAGTCCTTGACCTCCTTCATTTCATAATGCTGTTTCTTGTCTTTATCTAACTGATTTTAACGAGCGGAAAGGAAAATGTGAAGAGTGACAGAAATATCGGGGGACTACAGAGGCAGCTCTGTTTTCTGCTGGAGGATGCAAGGCATGGATGATTTCAGTATAATAGTTTTATTGTGGTGCCACTCTCTGGACATGTGTTCTCCTCGCTGGGCTTGCTGGAAACAGCAAGAGCCATCAGCTGATAACCTGCCCATCACATGAGGTTTAAAATTCAGCTCATCTGATCGGTGAAGTTATTTAGGGCACTGATAGCTTGGCCCTTGTGAAAAGAGCAGGCGTTAAAAAAAACCACAAAACCCCAAAGAACCTAAAACCAAAGGGCAAACCTTAATTTTCTGCTGAGCTTCCTGTGCTGCTTTTCTTCCGGGGTGACAGAGCACAGCCATCCCGTGCCTTGCTTTCCCAAATCACTTTGAGAATCTAATCTTCTTTAAGACATTGTTGCTAGGAAGAAAAGAGGAGAAATTTAGGCAAAAAAACAGATCAAGGGAAGTGAGGTTGGTTTCTCCCTGAGGATGTATTCAGGTCAGTTCACAATGATCCTAAGTTTTGACTGGATTAATTAAACTCTTGACAGAGCTCCCCAAAAGGGCTCTCTTTTTATCTTGAGCATCTGATGTGCACAGCATCCACTGACCCGGCTCACGCGGTGTGGCTGCAAGGCTGGCTGTGTCCTCCCTACCCACCTGGGGCAGCAACATGCTTCCTACCTAAACTTGATGGGAAAATCACCTTTCAAAAAATGGTTTCAGCTTTAAAGCCCTAACCGTTTTCTGCTGCCTTTTCTTCTGGGGACCTGGCTGGGAGCTCCCTTGGCAGTCCAATACTTAATGAGACTTAAGCTAGAGCAGAAAGTTTGTTTTGGAGGTGCAGGGAAGGATGCTCAAGCGCAGGTTGGGAGCCAGGAAAAGCAAGGATGCTTTTTGCTGGTCTCTCTCTGTTGCTTATCCCTGGTCTTGCAGCCAAAACTCATCTCTGGATGATGCTTTGCTTTGAAGGAGGAGTGCAGGGGGATAAGCAGAGCAGGGAATATGGGCAGTCTGGAGGCTGAAGCTTCAAGTTTAGAGGAAGAAGAGCAGCGAGCCGTGTTCTAATCAGCCAGGAAACCAAGAGGGACAGAAAACACGTTGCCCAGGAAAACACAGGCTTTTCGTATTCGCCCGGTGAGAGCTGGCTGCCAGCAGCTGGAGCTGCTTCCCACCTCAGGCTTGCAAACAATCTGCTCTTCCCTTTCTGAACGGGAAAAATCAGCCGAGTTCCCTTCCCAGAAAGAAGGTTCCTTTCCCTTGTGAAGGTTTCGGTGCAGGCTGGGAGGTAAAAAGGTGGAAACAGCCCTGTGGTGCTGCGAGAGGTGTCTGCTGAGCCCCAGGAGAGCTGGTGTCCACCACTGCCCTCCTGGCCGGGGTCTGGCACGCTCCGAGTCGCTTGTGTTGGTGCTGGTCTGCCCAAATGCTGGTGGGAGCCAGGAGGAGGGATTCTGCTGCCCCTCTGAGTCGGTGGTGCCTCTAGCAGCTCCATCTCCACCTAATTCATAAAGCACCCAGGTCTGGTTTAGCGCTGGACTCCCATCCAGGAGAATGATCTCCAAATCCTCTTAGGGGCAAACACAACCATTCCTCCACTGGGCTAAACCATCTCCGTTCAGTTCCCCAGCTCCAGCTGTGGCCAGTTCTTAATGCTTGAGAGGAAAAGAAAAAATCCCTGAATAATTTAGCGGTGCAGTGCCACACAGCAGGGTCCGGGGTACCTTTGCAGTCAAGTGCTCCTAATAGCCTGGAGTTTGTTGTTGGAATGTTTTATGGGTAATTAACTGCAAATGTTATCAGCCATGAAATTATTTAGTCATCTTAAAATCAAGTCGTTTGGGGTTATTTTTGGTTTATATTCTGCTTGCAGCGAATATGCACTAATCCATGAGCTTGGGCTAAACGTGCCTGAAGTGTTCAGGTGGTTTTTTCTCTGCTGGTTTAGAAATTGCATATTTCTCTTGCAGTGGGTGTACAATATCCTGGAGAAGAAAGCTGAGGCTGATCGAATCGTCCATGAAAACCCAGATCCTTGTGATGGATTTGTTCTAGTTCCAGATCTTAAGTGGAATCAAAACCAGGTTTGTTTGCTCCTCTTGCTTGTCTGAAGGGTAATCCAGAGGAAGCATCCGCTGTTGTGCTACTAATAGCACGCGAATTAAAGTTTTAGTAGGGGAATGGGTCCTTCCTGTTCACATTGTCATTAAGTGATGATATTGCCAGGGCCTTTTGTAACGTGCTAATTGTGGTCACAAGCAAAACACAGGCTGTTCTCGCTGCTGCTGGCTGATTTATTTATTAGCTTCACTTTCTCTTTCCTGTATTAGCCCAAATGTTGTCGTGGGGTGTTTGAACCTAAATCCAGCTGCGGATTTGTTCCTGATGAACTTGTTTGGGGTTTTGGTTGGTTTTTTTGTTTTGTTTTGTTTTTTTTCTTTTCAAGCCTCAACTTTAAGTGCAAAGCAGGCAGATGTGTTGTCCTTCAGTTGCTGCAATTAACTCTCCTCCACACAATATCAAACAGATGGTCCTTAGCTTATGAGCAGCTGCTTAACCCCTCGTGGGAGTGGCCACTCCTTGAAAAGCAGAGGTTTTTAAGCCCAGGCTGTAATCCTCAACTGAGTGGCTCATTATTTCCTTGGGCTCCAGCTCCCTTTCCTACTGTAGTTCTGGGGATGTTCCTGGGAAGGTGAAACTCCACACGTGTACCCCTTGAAGTCAATGGAATAAAAAAAAAAAAAGTCCCCTTCCTGTTTCTGATCCTCAAAATGTTTCTGCAGGTGGCAGGGGGGGAAAGTTACCATGTGATTGAAACTTTAGAAGTGGGAAGTAAAAACTAAAAGAAATGGGAACACAAGCCTGCTGACGGGCAAGGTAATTCTGTATTGGGAGCACCTAGTTGTGGGCTGGTGCTGGAGTCACCAGGGGAGCACTGGTGGTGGGCTCTGGTCACTGGGAATTCCTTGCGCATCAGCCACCCCAAAAACCCCTTCTTGAGCTGCGATGGGGTAACCACGCTCAAATTTCCACTTGGTCACCAGGAGGCATGACCTTCTTCCTGAAGAGACTTTGCAAAGCGGATGATACACAAATTTAAGCCCCTGTGCCTTGTTCAGTGCCCTTTACTTCCAGCGTGGCAATATTTAGGGAGCTTAAAAAGTGCACCCTGCTGCCCCTTCCCTCGCTTCGAGCAAAGCCTCGGTGTAAATCCTCGCTTGCCACAACCAACCTTCCCAACTCGCATCAGGATTGGAGGCAGATGGGCTAAAAATGGTGTTTTAGCTTTCTCTGGAGACCTGGTGTACCCACAACTTGCAGCTGGCACGGGTCAGGGAGCTCTTAAATGGTAGGATTTGCCTTTAGGGGAGGTTTCCTCCTGTTGCTGTCACCTCTTGGTAATGCTGAACAGGATCTTCTTGATATCTTCCCAAGGGCTGGGTGTCCTCCCTGGGGCTGTTGGGGACCTTTGAGTGTCCTGGCTGTTTCTGAAGCAGCGTCCCAGCCAGGGCTGTCGACTTCTGCCTTGGAGCTGCAGAATTTCTCCTTGGCTGTGGGTGATGCTGAGCCAGAGCATCCCAGCGAACGGGCAAGGCTCCCAAATTAAAGGAGGGAAGCAAGACAGAGCACCCAGCAGGACTCTCCCAGCCCCGAGGGAGATGTCCCTTCAACAGTTGGCCTTGCACTCTCTTAGCACCTTGCCTACAAATGCTGCGAGTTCATGGCATCATGGAATTGTCAAGAGTTGGAATTCCTTCAGGCTGAGGGACAGGAGGAAGGTTTCTCCTTTGCCTGGTGAAGTCTCCGCGCTTGCTGCTGCCCTCGACCTTCAGGGCCTGACCTTGACAGGGCTTTGAGTTGGTTTCTTGGTGTTTTGGGGTTTTTTTTAATTGGAATTTTTGTTTGGTGTGGGGTTTGGTTTTTTGTTTTGTTCCCCCCCACCACTTCTTTGGAGTTGGTTTTCAAACCCGCAGGAGCCCTGAGGCGTTGCCTGAAATGATGCCCGGCATGACATCATCCAGGGGCCTTTTTAGCAACAGGCTCATTGTTTCAAACAGCAACATGCAGATGTTGTTCTAAGGAGAAGAGATGTTT